AAAAAAAAAAAAAAAAGATGGGGAAAAGGTTCCCCCAAAATGCTTGATATTAATAGACAAACAGTGAGAAACGAGGAAAGGCCTTATAGTAAGAAGGAACAGTATATTCATTCAGAGGCAGAATACTGAAAGAGCAGAGTAGAGAAGGAAATGCAGGAATTCCATATGCCTTGCTTCAACCTTCAAAGTGCATGCAAAGGAGATGAAACAGGCAGGAGCCAGCTCCCGATGTCATGTATTCTGAACTTCATCTTCAATTCAATGTGAGATTTCATCCAAGGGAGTGCTGTAAAGTTAGCTCTGTGATTTAGAAAATTCACTCTAGTAGCAGCCGGACAGTAAAGGAACTAAAGTGAGGGCAGAAGCAAGTCGGGTTGCAAGAATCCTGGGATACTGGAAAGAAGCCTGAACAAGGGGAAGGGGGCTAACAGTCAGGTTTGGAGACCCGGACTGGTAAACATAGAATGAAGACGTTGCCTTAGAACATGCAGGGAAAATGGTCCTTAGGTCCCTCGGATAAAAAGGTCTTCAGATACTCCTCTCTCTTAAACTTTTCATTATTAAAGTTTAAGGCTGGGCGCAGTGGCTCACACTTGTAATCCAGGACTCTGGAGGACGAGGCAGGAGGACTGCTTGAACCCAGGAGTCTAGCCTGGGCAACACAGTAAGACCCCATGTCTTAAAAGTTAGCCGGGTATGGTGGCTTGCATAGTCCCGACTACTAGAGAGGCTGAGGCGGAAGGATCGCCTGAGCCTAGGAGGTCAAGGCAGCGGTGAGCCGTGATCATGCCATTGCTCCAGCCTGACCGACAGAGTGAGATCCCGACTCAAAAGAAAAGAAAAATTAAAAACATCAAAGTAGACAGCATAGAGTAATATATCCAATTTACCCCCACTCAGTTTAAACAATTCAATAAGTCAGCTCTCTCCGCCCGTCCCCAGTTATTTTGAAGGAAATCCCAGAGGGGCTAGTGAGTGTCCACACTATACCTGATCTGTTGTGTCACCGTCCTCCGGGGAATTTTTGCTCTTTTCTTCATCTTCTGCAAAACGGACTCTTTTTCTTCTCCGTTTCGCCTGCGCTGCCCCTTCCATTTCCTCCTCCTTTCGCTGTTCTACATTCCCGTCTTCCTCGCCCTCCTCCTCTTCACTCGGCGCTCCCGCTTCCTGCTCTTTCCTTTCCTTTTCTACATCTTCGTCTTCCCCTTCCTTCTCCTCCTCACTGTCGCTCTCGGAGTCACTTTCTAAATCACTTTCCGCGAGTGTCTGTCCAGCATCATCCTCCTCCTCCCCACTGCTTTCGTACAAGCCGCTATTTTTCCCAGACTCCAGGGCTCCCAGAATATAGTCTAGCCCATCGCGTGCAAAGCTAAGCGGTATGGAGTGACTGTCGCCCTTCTTTTTGCGCTTGTTCAAGCCGAGGCACCGTTCCAGCTTTCGTATCTCTCGGTCCTCCTCCTCGTTGGCCGCTAGAAGTGCCCGTTTTCGGGCAGAAGCGGCGGTGGCGGCTGCGGTGGGTCTGGTCTTCCCGGGAGGAGCCTTAACCTTGGCGCGGGACGGTCGCGGCTCCTTGGGAGGCTGGGGAGCCCGACTACGGGCCGGGCGGGCGTTCTCCTCTTCCTTGTCCCCCTGGGGGCCGTCCGCTTCCTCGACTCCGTCGCTGCCTCCTGGGGCCGGGCCCACCGTCCTCCGCAGTCGGCGCGCTTTCCTCAGGTGCCGCTTCTCCTTTCTCAGCTCCTTGCGGCTTTTCCTCCCGCCTGGGCGGCAGCCCAGGGCGGCGCCGCGCCCCTCGCTGCCCCCGTGGACCTCGTCGACGGAAGTCGCTTGCACGAACTCCTCCACCGCTAACTTGAGCCGCTCCCGGGCCCCCTTCCCCCTGCCCCCAGGACCGCGGGGAGGCCCGCGCCCGCCTCTGCGCTTCGGGCGGGCCACGCGCCCCCGGTAGCCGCCCGAACCGGGCCCTCCGGGGCTCCTGGGCGCCGCCATCTTTCGAGACTCGTGGACGTACCACTTCCGGCTGGGGCGGAACTTACGGACGAGAGCGGCGGCTGTGCAGGGCTGGCGGGCGGCGTCCCCTGCCGGCCGGAGGGCGGGAGAGCGAGGCGGCGGAAACAGCCTTGGCATTTGGTGCCTGCTTTGTAAACAATTAGTGAAAGGTAATTTTATGATGAAGACACAAATACATTCTCGTTTAAGAGATGAAATCACAGATTATGGCGAAGAGACCTCGTAACAATCTGCCCCGGAGGCAACCAGTTGTCGGTGCGGCGAGAATGTTCAGATCTGTCTGCGTTTGCAGGCAGGCGTTTCTGCCCATAGGAAAAACACGGAATGTCGTTTTCCGTGCGTTTTGCAGGAGAAACAGTATGCTAAGCTAACTATTCTGCAACTTGCTTTCTTCACTCCACCTGAGGCGTCCTGCAGTGTACCGCATCACGACTCACCGCATTATCAGAGGTGTGATTCGTTCGACCGTCCCTCTGTTGATAGATGTCCCGGGATGATCGCCCCAGATTCGTGTCCCTGGAACCTGGAATTGGGACCTTATTTGGAAACAGGGCCTTGGCAGAGGTAGTCAAGTTAAGATGCGGTCCTACTGGATTAGGGTGGGCCCTAAATTCAATGGTTGATGTTCTCATCAGAAGGGAAATTTGGACAGAGACATAGAAAGAACACTTTGTGACCATGGAGGCAGAGATGGGGTGATGCGTCTACAAGCCAAGGAGCGCCAAGGATTGCCTGCAACCACTATAGCTGGGGAGAGGCATGGAGCAGGTTCCCTCTGGGAGCCCCCAGAAGGAACTAGCCCTGCCTACACCTTAATTTTGGATTCTGGCCTCCCAAACTGAGAAAATGTATTTGTTGTTTTAAGCTGCCTGATTTGGATACTTTGTTGCTAGGTAATTTGCACTAGGAAACTAATGCAACAGACATTTGATCTGCTTCTAGTTTTTCGTGTCATGAACTGGGCTTCAAGGAGCATCCATTATCAGGGAGAGTTAATCTGTGAGGAAGTGAGATTGCGGTTGTGTGGTTTCCAGTTGAACGTGGTGCTAACATTTCCTCCCAATGTTGCCCTGTCCACTTCTCTTCTCAAACGCAGTCTGAGAAGTATCCATCCTTGATAGTTTTTAAATGTTTTTGTTTTTGCCAACTTTTCAGCTCAAAAGCATATCTTGTTGTTTTAACTCCTCTTCAGAGGGAGTGTCTTTTCGTATGTTCATTGGTAATTTGTATTTCCTTCTCTATGTATGGCCTCTGTCCATTTTCCTTATAGGTTTTAGGAGTTCTTTACAGATAAAAAATTTTGAGGAATCCTTTGTCTCTCCTGTGTGCAAATATTGTCCTCTAAAATATTTAAGGTACTTCAAAAATAAGTAATTTGATATAATAATAAACAATGTACTCTAAGCAGAGAGAACAAAATTCAAAAGGTGCAAAAAGATATGCATGAAAGGGTCAGTTTCCTCCAGTCCCTGTCCACAAGCCATGAAGCAGCAATATTATGTTCTCATGTGATCTTCCAAATAGGATCTATACACAGTGAAGCACAGGTGTGTGTGTGTGTGTGTATACTGTTTCATAAATGCTAGTTTACTAAATACTGTTCTACATTTTATTTTTTTCATTTAACAAAGTATCTCGGAGACTGACCTACAGCACAGAAAGCTCCCAATGTAGCTTCCCCGCCACTGTCATCTCTGTCTGATCTTCCTGTTTTCATCCCCTTACCCACCACCCCTTCAGTCTGTTTTCAACATAAAAGCCCCGGGGATGCTTTTTATTTATTTTATTTATTTTATTTTATTTTGTAGAGACAAGGTCTCACTATGTTGCCCAGGCTGGTCTTGAACTCCTGGGCTCAAATGATCCTCCCATCTCAGCCTCTCAAGTAACTGGGATTACAGGTGTGGGCCACTGAGTGTGACTCCAAAAATGTTTAATCTTTGACACTCTATTTTTTTTTTTTTTTTTTTGAGTTGGAGTCTCACTCTGTCGCCCAGACTGGAGTGCAGTGGCCGCTCCCGGCCACCGCAGCCTCGACCTGCTGGGCTCCAGCAATCTTCCCACCTCAGCCTTCCGAGTAGCCGGAATTACAGGCATGCGCTACCACGCCCGGCTGATTTTTTGATTTATTGTAGAGATGAGGTCTTGCTGCCCAGGCGAGTCTTGAACCCACGGGTTCAGGCAATCCACTCACCTCAGCCTCCCAAAGGTATGGGATTACAGGCTGAGCCACCGAGCCCGGCTGACACTCTATTTTTAATTTTGATATATAGAATAAAGTAGGATCAACATTTTTCCCCCAGACACCTACCCAATGCCAATATGTATTCTCGAAAAATACATCTCTTTCCCACTAATTTGTAACACCATCTTGATAATATAGTAGTGTTTTTTATGTATTTGAGGCTGTTATGGGCTTTTTATTTTTTTCCCTTATCTTTCTGTGCATGCAAGCATCAGTACTATACCACTTTAATGACTATGGTTCTAAAGCATGGCTTAAAATCAGTCTTCTCATCCTTTGTTACTCTTCATTTTCATCATCTTTCTCTCTATTCTTTCTTTTTTAAAAAAGTGGACTTTAGTATTAACTTTTGTACATGAAAAATTCTGCTGGTATTTTTAATTGGAGTTGTGTTTAATTTGTAGGTGAACTTAAGAATTAGAACCAGATCATATGAGGTTAAACTCTTTCTTTACAAGAATAACGTCCATACCTTCCACTCTTAATTTGTGTTGGCTGGGCTTGGTGGCTCAGCCTGTAATCCCAGCACTTTGGGAGGCCAAGGCGAGTGGATTACCTGAGCCCGCGGGTTCGAGACCCACCTGGGCAACTTGGCCAGACCTTGTCTCTACAATAAGTCAAAAAGTAGCCAGGTGTGGTAGCCCACACCCATAGTTCCGGCTACTTGGAAGGCTGAGGTAGAAGGATCGCCTGAGCCCAGCAGGTCAAGGCTCCGGTGGCTGTGAGGGTGCCACTGCACTCCAGCCTGGGCAACAGAGTGAGAGTCCAAACCCCTCCCCCACCAAAAATTGTGCTTTCTTCATATAGACTGCATACACATTTCTTGGTTTGGAATGGCTTTTCTGACAGCCTGAGGGGACGTGGGATTTCCCACAGACAGCAGCAGGGGAGGAGGTGAGTTCCTAATTAGCCTGGCATGTAGGCCCCACCTGGCTGGAATGGAGGATGAGTGTCAGGCAGGAGGAACCCATGCTGGGATCTTGTCCCTCGCACTGGAGGACTGAAGCTGCACAGAGGCCTTTTCAAGCCTCACTCCTAGTTCCTTTCATCCTCACAACCGTGACTTTGCGAGGTGCTGGGCGTCTTTTTCAGCCTCACAACCGTGACTTTGCGAGGTGCTGGGCGTCCTTTTCCCACAGGCGAGAGCTCTGAAGCACGGATGAGCTGCATAGCCACCTGCAGGTAGGTGTGGAGCAGGTTTGGAGCTACGCTCTGGTGTCCGTTCCTGTGTGTGGTCTGCTGCAGTCCCGGCTGAGAGTCTCTAGGGAGTGTGGGCAGTCAGGACCAGGAAAAGGACTCGTGGAAGGAAAGAGGGCTTGTAGAGTGACCAGTAGGCATGAGGGCTTTTCTTGTTCCCTAGGAGCTCCGGGGAGCAGAACCCAGCAGAGCAGGGGCGGTCCTAGCCCTTCTCCATCCGGGTAAATAAAGGTGTGTGTGTGTGGTGTGGAGACAAGGGATGGTGTGCATGGCTCTGAAGCCACACGGGGCCCATTTCTCATCCACTCCAGAGGAGGGAGGGGGCTTCCTGGGTGGGGGAAGGGACCTATCGGAGGGGAGAATGGCATCTCACACCTGCCCCACCAGTCCCCAGCAGTGTGTGAAAGAGCAAAGGCAGGAAAGTAAGGAAATCGGCACCCATCAGATTTCTGAATTAGGGTCAGGTCTGAACCAGTGAATATCAAATTTTGACTTAAGCTAACCAGACTAGATTTAAATTTTGACTTAAATCTAGCTGGACTTAAAAAAAAGAATCTGAGCCAGGTGCCGTGGCTCACACATGTAATCCCAGCACTTTGGGAGGCTGAGGTGGAAGGAGTGCTTGAGCCTAGGCATTTAAGACCAGCCTGGACAACATAGTGAGACACTGTCTCTATAAAATTCAAAGAGTTAGTCAGGCGTGGTGGCACACACCTGTCATCTCAGCTACTCAGGAGGCTGAGGTGAAAGGTCACCTCAGCCTGGGAGGTCAAGGCTGTGGTGAGCTGTGATTGTGCCACTGCACTCCAGCCTGGGTGACAGAGTAACACCTTAACTCAAAAAAAAAAAAAAAAAATCTCCAAAACATCCATTAATGAGACTGTTCTAATACTCAAAAGTGGCTCAACAAGCCACGGCTATACCCGGGTGTCATCTAGGAGTGGAGAGGGAAGCTCAGCACAGAAGGTGGGTAAGTGTGGGAGAGGAACACATTTGTGTCCCACATGCACCTGCACACATCAGCCTCCATCAAAACAGCATGTGCAAGTTTCCATTGCAGACTGTCACGTGTCTTCTGATCCTCCCAATGCCTGTAGCCTTACATCTTCTCATTTCATCTCTGGGGCAAAGAGTCCCACTTTGTGCTGTGCATAGAAATAAAACACAGTGAACCCCCTGCTCCCCCACACTCCCCACTGGGGCCACACTATACAAGCGGCAGTACATCAACAGTGGAGGCTTACCTCACAAGCTCTGGGTTTCTTTAATTTTTAATTTTTATTTTTTTTTGAGTCAGAGTCTCATTCTGTCACTCAGGCTGGAGTGCGGTGGCATGATCAAGGCCACTACAGCCTCTACTTGCTGGGCTCAGGCAATCCTTCCACCTCAGCCTTCCAAGTAGCTGGAACTACAGACGTGCACCATCATGCCCAGCTAATTTTTTGATTTATTGTAGAGACAAGGTCTCGCCAAGCTGCCCAGGCTGATCTCAAATCCCTAGGCTCAGGCAATCCTCTTGCCTCTCCCACCTAAAGTG